CCCGGAGGAAAACTCCGTGTTGCCTAGACCACGGCCTTGCCCAACACAAGTTATAAATTCGGGCACCGCCGGGAATCGAACCCGAGACCCCAGGATTACAAGGCCAGCGTTCTAACCACTCTACTACCGTGGCACCATTATATTATGTAACATTTCTTAAATATTGTGGCTGTTGGATCACGTTTCATTGTTGATGACGTCAAAACAGTTTTATATTCATTGGCATTTCAGTAACCTGGTATTCCCTCAACGCTGTTTGCTACATATTGCGTGTTACTGCAGTAGTGTTGCCAGTTTTCAAGCCGGACTTCGAACCTGATACCTTCGAATGCAGAGCAGAAGTGTTGAACGTCACACCGTCAGCGTCTTTATTGGTGCGAGCAGAGGAAATCGGGACTCGTCAGGGCGGGAATTGGTTGTTCAGAGCCAAGAGGGAGGTGATTAATTCGGCCGCAGCTGTCGCCACTGTTCTTGGTTCCACATAAATGCATTCCTGAGTGAACAGGGCTGTCGTCGAATACAGGGCACGTCCTACTACCGCGGTTAATAGTAAGAGCAATTGTCCTGAAGAAAGCAGAATTTTACACAGCGCCGCTCTCCTGAATGTTATCGTAACATTCAGTCCGTACCGCAAAGAAAACACCACGTGCCCTTGACAACGATAAATTGGTCCGTGATATTCAAGAAGGTAATGGATCTTATTCTGAAAAACTGTGTGCATTTCTGATGAACGTTTTGAAGTAATCGATTGGACGTATCCAAGTGGAATTTAACATCATGAATAATTATTTTTAACATTCTTGATTATGACGTTTAAAATCTTGGGGTTGTGGGTTCGTATCCCGCTAGCACGTGTCTACGTCAGAGGCCGTGTGGTGAGCCAATGTTCCATCCGAGGAATTGCGTCGCGCTTGGAAAATAATTCGGCCAAGCTTTGAAAACTAAAAGTCGTTTTATAAAGTAAAGTAAAGTAAAGTTTGTCCCACTATACGCCTTGTAGGCGTTTGGGGTGAGTGGAGGTATAGCTCCTCTCTTCCTTGCCGTCGGGGATCGAACCCCGGTCGTCCAGCTCGTAGCTAGTCACTATACTGACTGAGCTATCCCGGCTCATAAAACTCGTTTTATAACAACTCTTAAAAACGCCTGTTATTTGTATTTCACGACCGTTCAGGTTGATTAAGCAACCATGTTGTACGCTTCAACAAATTTTATTACGAAAATTAAATCAAGGAGGATGAGATTAGCGGGGAATGTAGAGCGCATTAGGAGATGAACAACTCGTACAAAATTTTGATTGGAAAGCCTGGAGGGAATAGGCCATTTGGAAGGAACTGGGTGTGGGTGGGAGGATAATATTAAATTGGATCTTATGAAAATTGCGGTGTTCATTGGATTAATCTGGATCTGGATTGACACAGGTAACATGCTGTTGTGAACACGGCACTAGCTGAGCGTGGAATTAAGTGTCTGAAGTAGGATTCTGCTACGTGGAGTTACTTAATCGCGTTGTTTATCGTCGTGTGCTAAGTCCGTCGCCAAATGTGGGGATTACAGGAGCGTCGACGGCTGTCTGAAGTCATCGGAGCCTGAATGAGTCACGTGGTTTTACTCCGGACGCGAAATTCGATAATAACACACGCACATAACTAGGGTTATGTAAGTAAGCACCGCAGTGTTAATCCGGAAATTGTAAAAAGTTGTTTCGGATGGCCTTGACATTTCCAAATGTGGGTTTCTGTATACACGAATTTAAAGTTCCAGATACAGAAATCAAGATATCACGATTTACAGTTCTTTACAGAAATGGAAAATCGCGGGTACATTAAACCAACAAGTTGTTGGTTATTCTTGTATTATAGTTCTGTAAACTTCGTGGGCGGGTTATATAGCACGCATGGGGGTTAAGAAGAATATGTACAAGGATTTAGTAAAGGGAAAGGACCACTCGGTAAAAGGAGGTGTAAATGAGAGGATAATATTAAAATGCTTCTCAGGGAAATAAGGCGGGAGGATTTAGACCGGATTAATGTGGCTCAGAAAAGGTACCTTAGGTTCCTCACCGTGCAGACGTAAGGGGGTGTGGAAGTATAGCTCCACGCATGCATTCTTAGCCTCGCACTAGATGGATGTAGAGTGGGTAGCTTCGCGCCCCGTCCATCGTAAACTCCGAGGTCAGTTCCACGTGGCAAAGATCAAATTCTGGCAAACACAGAAAAGTTAGATCGTGTCTTTTTTATGTGTTTTCTGCTTCCAATTTAAGTAAATTTAATGTTTTCTTCTAGTTTTCAGTAATTTATCGATTCCTTTCCATTAAGCGATCTCCACGGCAGACAACTTCTTGAGGACTCGTAGATTTCCGGAGACAAGGTTATGTAATTGGTTAGGTAATTTTTATCATCAGTTGTTGAAAGTGCAGGCCAGAAAAGGTAAATAGCACAGAAAGAGAAGGTAAATATAGTTACCTCCGAGATAGAGTCCCATCTCCGACATTGGATAATATCCAAGAAAATTTTTATTCAATTGACTCCGATTCTTTGCTTTGCTACAATCGGTTATAAATTTTGGTTATTGTTAAAACCTGAAACTCGTTCCATCACCAATTTCGTTCACTTTTTCCAGGTTTTAAAGTGCGCCATTCGCTAGCTACTTCAGTTTGGTTCTGCTTTCTTCCGTTGTTTACTTCATGTGCAAAGAAGTGCGAGGCCTGCGAGTTGCATATCAATTGCCGGCCCACTGTAAACAAGCGACGGGCAATCCATCAGCCAGAGCACCGGAAGGGGCAAATCTCAAGACACTCCAGAACTTCGTGGCGTGCGGTTGATACCTGGGTCATACTTTGTGCCTTTTTGGCTCTGGGCAGTCTGAGACCTCAACAGTTTCGGATGATGATGTGGGTGGGGAATGTAGCACGAATGGGGAGTTGACAAAGGCGTACAAGGAAAAAAGTTTACAAAGCCTGACGGGGGGGGGCTAGACCTAGATCCTTCGGTTCTTTGTTTGGGCGCAAAATTTCTAAGCAGCCGTGCCAAACAGATGCGTGACCTGGCAGACAAATGCCGCACGGCCGGCGATTTCTCCTTACGCCTTCGCTGCACGTACGGTTGGGGGGGGGGGGGGGGGGGCGTCTGTCCGCATGATTTTTATTTAAATTCTCAACGGATCTGGATGAAATGTGGCAACACTGAACTGTTGAACCCGAAAAAACAGCTCAAAAGACATAACAAACTGACGAAGCATCGAAGATAACCATTAAAAGCCCTATGGTAACTATATGTACCACCTGTTTTAACTATCACTTACTCTACATTTTTCCCACAGATTGTATTTATGGGTTACATATTCTCAGAATAAACTCAGATTAAGTAGGAGCTGTATTCTTATGTACTGTTCAGATGATCTTCGTGCTTCAAAATGTTAAAAAACTTACACATTTATCTCCCAATCTTGTGTTAAATATTCACAGTCTTGAAAGGCGTTTGAAGTAGTTCTAAATTGTGTTATCACCGGTGACAGGTTAACGGGATATTGTAACAAAGACACCGTAAATTCCATGTTACTTTTTTGTTAACGTTACCTGTTCTTTAGAAAAAAAATACTTCAACCTGAAGATGGAAATTGATACGTCCTTCCGAAACGTTTGTATTAACCACAAGACACATGAGTGTACGTTAGTGGCTGGCACTACTGAGTCGTGTTCGAGTATAGATCGTAGTTTTCCTCAGTCTTTCCGCAGAGATGGGATCACCTACGACCTCAACTTTACACTCTCGTTTCATTAACAACAATTCTGTCATTCGGTTCTAATAACGCAAGCAGTTGACAGGGCGCCGTGTAATTCAGGAGTTTAACGCTGCGAATCTCCAGGATGGAGAGCTAAGAACGCTGTTTTGCTGACAGGTTGCCAGTGTTCTGCGCATCTGGACTGTACCAGGTGTAGCAGGTTGGCGTCCCAAATTAATGACGCCTTATAAATAGCGCCAGTATGTTTCATCAGGATAATTGCGGACTCCCTGAAATAACTTCGCGACTTGCCTTCCAAAAGTTGTAACAGGGTGTAAGCGGTAACCGTACGTACCACCTGCTTCAAGTTTAAGAAACTCGGCATTTCGCCCACAGAATGTATTTGATACTCAAAATAAACAGCAATATATATATATTTTTTCCCTGCGTATGCATTAACACGGCGGTCTGCGTAATTGTGACGCTGTGTGTTTTCTTTGAGGTCGGGACCGAAGTTTCAAATATTACCAGTTCAAACTACTTTCACAAGAAACACGAACGGGCAGTGCTTGGAAAAAAGAATTCCACCCCGTTTCTTCGTCTCTCGGTCCTTTGGTTACCTACTTTGAAAATAAAACGTAAAATGTGTCGCCCTGATTCATATACAACTCGCCTCACGCGCTGTGTTCGTTCTGTTTCCGAAACAAACGCAAACGCTGATACAGCGTCGCCAAACACAAGGCGCTGAATTATGATAATGAGGCCGGAAGCGCCAGGCTGTCTGGCAGAACGCAACACGTGTATAAATATCCTGACACGTGTCACAGTGTTGTCATATCGTTGTTTTGACGCGT